AGACTGTTCCTATATATATAAGCTTGAGAAACTACCATTTACACTTCTGATGATTGCGTTTTGCGCATGAAACTAATTAGTAAAGGACAATGTGTTTTTCAATGTGTTGATTGAACATAAATCCATATATATGTATGCTCTGGGATACCATCGAGCACTCTGTCTAGGGTTTGTACTGACTGTTAAGTGTTATTGGATTTATATATATATACTAATTATTGGATCTATATATATATATATTGGCCAAGGAGAGAAGAACTTGAACAAACATTGCCCCTTCAATTTAGACAGCATTTAAACAGAAAGTGTACATCAATAATAGATTGTTTTGAAGTGCTTATTGAGTGGCCAAGTAACTTGGAAGCCAGAATGGTGACATGGTCTTCCTATAAACATCACAACACAGTGAAATTTCTTGTCAAGGAAAAAAAAAAGTGATGCAAAACTGATAGACTACTAATTCACTTCTTTGCTTTGCATGGTGCAGAAAGAATTGAAAACCTCCTTAAATGAGTATTCTCCTACCTTTTGTTATAAGTAAGTCATATTACCACAATAATGACCTTCTTTCTTAAAGTAAAACTTCATACAGTGTTGTCCCCAATTGTCATTGAAAATCAAAAACTAATCAGACCACTCCAAAGTAGGCGACAATCGATAGTCCTTTTAAAAATTTATTATTTTAGTGTTCTACCACCACTGAATCGTCAACGGGCGTAACTTTGTACAAGCAGTAAATTAGTAGTTTGTTACAATACAAAATGGCTGACAGCGTGGCATCCAATATTGAAGATTTGTTTCCATACCCTGGGAAAATCAAGTCAGCAGTTTAGAAATATTTTATGTTCAAAAAAAAGAGGGCAGATCTGCCACCACAGAAAACAAATCTGGACAGCAAAAAGTCTTGCGCTAATAAAGGTTATAAGTATTACCCCACCCATCACAAAAATTTTGTCACATGACTTGTTAAACGTAATTAAATCTAGTGAAATGAAAAGACTAAAGAGTCGTGTTGATATTTCCTGAGGGAGTGAATGTGCAGTAGCAAATTCTAGTAAAAATGTATAAAGGTTTAATAGTCAATTAGTCATAGGAATAATAGATTTTATTCATTGACACAAACTGTTTTATCTATACACTGCGTCTGCTTATATATAAAATCTGTTGGCATAAAATTTGCAAATGTAAAATAAATATTACATGATGTATTTAAGGTCAGTGAAAAGATGAAATTAAATTTAAAATTAGATTTTAAATTTAAAGTATTTTTTTTTAATAAATGCATTTATGTTCTTTTCAATAAATAAATGCGAGTTATTTTTAAGAAATGAATCATACTATCATCATCTCAGACTAGATGTTCTGTTCCGTATTAGGCTGGTATTCGCATATATTTTAGTATATAGAGCTGAACGTGCCAGTGACATCATACTTTAGGATATTATCATAATTTTATCTTAATCGGCCTCATTCACCCTTGGACAATTCTGGAAGAAACATCACTGATAAAATAGTCTTGACGAAATTGCACGTGGCGACTAGATTTTAGAGTTAGGTTTTCGCTGAAACAAACGTTTATTTGTTTTTTGGAGAGATTATAATATATCTATATTTCATTTAAATCCTTGATCAAAACATTGTTCAAAACATTTTGGAGGAATGCCTAGGGAAGGATGATTGCGCCACAGACGTGCCAGAATAGACTACGTGGGCGCGCCTTTCAGCCGTGACAGGCCGCAGATGAGGGGTCTAGGTCGGAGACAAGAAGTGCAGGCCGCTCTAGCCAGGGAAGAAGAGCCTTTTCGGGGAATATCGGAGCGTCACGAGAACAGTTGCCTTCAGCAGGATATCCCCCAACATACACCGGAAGCAGCAGGAACGTTGTTGGAAGGGTGTCGGCACAGGGCCAGACTGACTCTCAGGACTTCCAAGGAAATATTGACCAGTTTTTACCTGATCAAGGTGAGTCAGTTTTAAACGCGTTTAATTTACAGAGTCAATCTCAAAATCCTAGCAGAAATATTAGTTCAACACCGGGTTTGAACCCTATCTAAAAGGTACCACATGTTGACTCTATAATCAATTTCAATCCACATGGTTGTTAATGAGTACAATTCATGATGGAATCAGCTCCCATATTCCTATGAATATGAAGGAAAAAATTTGGGCAGGGAAGTAGATCAATTTGTGTGAATCTAACTTAGTCAATTGTAAGCTACAAACAAATGAAATTCTATAAATACCCTCACTTCTAATAACTTAATAGACAATATGTAGTGATGATGAGAATAAAAATTCTACCAAATATAGAAATAATACAATGCATAAAGCCAACAACTTGGTTCTTAAATTGAACATCTTGCTGACAGAAATATTGATTGTTTAGATTTATTACAGAGAATTAATGAAAATTCACTGAATATCTAGTAAGAAAAATACACCAGGATTAATGACATGTCAATTAAACAATACATATAGAAAAATATATAGATCTGTAAATTACATTTAAGGTGAGATAAAATGATAGATTTTATGAATATTATGATTCCAAAAACACTATTTACTATTTCATTACAGCATTTTTTAACCTTCAAATAGGCAGTATGTTGGATTGGTATTCTTCGCCAGGCCATTGATCTTTTATAATATTTAAACAATATTTTATCAGACTGTTATAAGAATTTGTAAAGATACATTCGTCTATACTGATATTAGTCTAACTTGGTTGTTTTTCTCATTTAATTGGGTAGAGGCCTTAGCCCAAGTTATCGCTAAAATTGCGAAGTTGGGGAATAAAAAAGCTGGAGTAACTTCAACTTTTTGGGAAAACATTTTAAAGAAAAATATGATTGGGAAGAGGTGGATTATAGGCCTCTGTTATATGAGGTGAAAAATCATGGTAACTATACAATAATATAACACTAAGATACACATCAAATCATTATATGTCTAGTGACCACCTGTGTATAGTGACCAACTGTAACTAGTCTCTCTAACAGAAGGTCCGTATATACAGTATCAACTGTACTTAAAAATATACACAGAGAACTGTTACATAAATGAGCCGCGTCATGACAAAACCAACATAATGCGTTTGAGACCAGCATGGATCCAGACCAGCCTGCGCATCCGCGCAGTCTGATCAGGATCCATGCTGTTCGCTATCAGTTTCTCTACTTGTAAAAGGGTTGGTAGGCGAACAGCATGGATCCATGCTGGCCGCAAACCCATTATGTTGGTTTTGTCGTGACCAACTCAAATGCATTATACATAATTCAAACAAGAATTCATTCTTCACATGAAGCATGCCTCCAGATTTATGTCACTACAAAATATGTAGTAATTCTGTATATTTTCTTTTAATACTGTTAAAAATAACAAAATAATACTGGATTACCAATTTTTTCCTCCAAAATCACATTCATTTATAAATAACTGTAATCTAGAGGCAAACTATTTACAATTTCGTTATACTATTCCTTAGAACACTATGACCTAAATACTAAATACACAAAATCACTAAGATTAATTACTGTATAAGTGGACATTTTGCGAATGTCAAAAAGTGGACTTTTGCATGTGGATATATTTGCGAAAATATGATTGCTTGAATTTAATACTGTTTTTTGTGATATCATATATTACACAGGTACATGTTAAGAATATGTAGTTACCGCAATTGTTCTATTCAGTTGTTTAATACTTTTATTATTTATGTAATTGTTTGAAATATACAATGTTAGTTTGATAAAGGACCTGATCATACATTTCTTTGTCATATTTTAAAACATTCTTTTGTTATATGAATAACCTTTTGTGTTATTAACACATATATATATTGTTTTATTAAAACATTTGTGATTAGTTAAGACCAAACTTAAACAAACGAGCAATGAGAAATGATAATCAGTGCCTGAACAGTCACACTTATTCATGTAAGATGCTGTATGAAAGTTTGCCTAAAAAGAAATACTTTTTGCTTGATAAAATATTTGGGAATAATTTCAATTCACAAAAAATTGCCAATATTTTCATGTCGCAAAATAAACCACTTATACAGTACTATACAGCGTTGTAATTAATCATCAACTTATAATACAGGGATTTTCTTTACCTTCTATAATTGGTCATGAATGAACCATGTGGGTAATTCTCAATTTCAGTACTAAATTTTCCTTTTATTTTCCCCAAATAAATCTGTTTAACCCCTATAAATTTTATGTAACTATAATTCTGTGAAAAAAAACACTGTCTTCTTTTGTCAACTCCCAAAATTCTTTACCCAAAAATTGTTTAAAATTCCAGTCAATCATAATCTGTGAACAAAGCACTGTATTCTTATGTCAACTCATAATCTGTGAACAAAGCACTTATTCCTTATGTCAACTCATAATCTGTGAACAAAGCACTGTATTCTTTATGTCAACTCATAATCTGTGAACAAAGCACTGTATTCTTTATGTCAACTCATAATCTGTGAATAAAGCACTGTATTCTTTATGTCAACTCATAATCTGTGAACAAAGCACTGTATTCCTTATGTCAACTCATAATCTGTGAAAAAAGCACTATATTCTTTATGTCAACTCATAATCTGTGACAAAGCACTGTATTTCCCAAATGGTTTGTATTTAAAGGCGCAACCAAAATCCTTTTCTAAAATGCATTATGCCCCTTTAAATTTAAAAACACTTTTTTTATGCATATAAAGGACAGAATGAACCCCAAGTTTAAAAACCCAAATTCTAAAAATTTTAAAACACCTATGTCAACTAAATTAACTTGTACAGAGCACTTACCTTAAGTCAACTCATAATCTGTTAAAAGACCACTGTATTTTTATACTGTCAACTATAAATCTATGAACAAGGCACTGTAGTACCATACAATCAACACAAAATCTGTGAACAGAGCAAGTTGTATTTAACTACATGTACAGGTCATTTAAGCAAGTCAAGAAGGTTGCCTCAATTTGCAAAATCTTCTTTCAAAAAAACTTCTGTCTCTCATCATCCGCAAGATATGTTAAACAAAAAATCTGTTCAAATAAAAGAAAAGTTCCTTGTATAAAGACATCAAAAAATATTTTTTAGACTCTCACGTACTTGGAGAATATCATGTTTTTAACTCTTCATATAGGCACTACGAAATGAAAGTAGATCTAAACAGGATAGACACATATTCACCCAGGATTACAATCCGCAGTTTGTAAGTATAACCCCTCTCTCCATAAAGATCTTGGATCGGTAGAGGGAATTTAGAATTGGGATCTGTTCCTGTGAGTCCTCACTATCACTCATTATGCTGTCTTGTCTTTTTGTACTATTGTGTAATATGTTGAAAAGATCTCTTCACCTTCATATATATCTCGCAGAGACACAAGCACAACAACTCTCAATAACCTGAAAACATGAATGAACATTCACTATAGTATACTGTATATGCCTATTCAGTGAACATCACAAAACATGATATTTGTTACGTTATAACTTCCATGAAACCAAATAATACTAAACATTTGTAACGCTAATTTTCATTGGATAAACATTTCATGTTATACATATCTACAGCAAAAACAAATTTATGATTTAATTTATATTTGAAGTGTGAAATAATTGTGCAGTATAATAAATTCATATTAATCTGTCTATAAGACAGCTTCCTCGACCATTCTCAGTACATGACTGGAAGCAAGTAGCATAACTTTGTAACAAGGGAACTCAGAATTATGGGTTAAGATTATTACAGAAAACAAGTATGTAAATTTTCAACACATTCCCTTCAGTAGTTTCTGACACCAACTTACACACAAGAACTTAACATAAAGTGTGACAACAACACTTACACTGATGGCAGGATGAGTACAAAAGCTCTCCACAGTGTCTATTCTAGGAGGGTGGATTCACTTCTATTTTTGAGAATTCCCCCGTATTTTTTCAGAGGCAGGGTGAAACTTTTACATAGAGAAAGGAAAAAAAATCAGTAAATGTAATAAATTCTCACTTTTCGATAAAAATCCCCCGTTTTTCAAATCCTAGAATAGACACTGTCTCCATATTCATTGGATAGTGGAACTAAAATATTTAAGCTACAAATATAATTATATATCTGTTTGATATTTCAAAATCAGATTCAGTGTTCATTTGTACATTCAAATGTTTCTTCAAGATAAATGAATCAACACAATGCAAGCAAACACAATATTGTGTATCAAGGTATTTTCCTTAGCTGTATATCAAGGGAAAGTACATGTATTGACGAAAATATAAACTTATGAGCATATGAAACATTGTATACAATGTCAATATTTATTTATATAGGATGCCTTACCTATTGTAGAATGTTTGCTCCATATCTTGATGTAACCTTGCTTCTGTATTTGGAATATACTGTCTTAACTCCATAGGGAAACTAGCTGGTATATCAAATTCTTGATATGCTACATTTGCTGCATATTCTAAAAGATTGAAGACAAAAAAGTTCATGAAGTGAAGTAAATTGTATCTAAACAATTTGAACAAAGCACGTATGTAAATTTGCATTGTGTTAATAAAATTCTGAGCACAGTTTTTAAAGGATGCACAATAGTATATGGACGCTTTTTTGGCGATTATAACATTTTTCATTCATAATCATGTACAAATTGGTGTGGGGAGATGAATTAGCTGTCTTAAAGTGCATTTCTACGGGTGAAAAGGCAAGTTTTTAGAATTTATTCATTTAAGTCCCTTGTCTGGTATATACCGGAATACTGTATTTAATGTGATGCTCCAACACTCTTTTTTAATCACACTTATAACAATTATGTTACATATAGACTTACTATTAGACTGGTTATTGACATATTGTCCCACAGCTAAAGGGTTGACTGGTGTCTCAGTAAGCCATCTTGTATCACACATCAACTTTCCATAGACACTGTCTCTCTTTGAGCAGGAACTGTCAAGAATAACAACATAAAATGAAACAGGAGAAATTTAAAAGTAGGCCTTCCAACTTACATATATTCATCTGCAGGGCAGGGCACTAGACAACTTTTGGGGACAGGTACCCATACCCTCAGGAAGGGGAATTTTGCGTCATTTTAAGACAAAAAGGGGAATTTTAAGCCATATATGAGTTCTTTAAATTAAGGTTTTACACTAACTCTTGGCACAATTTCCTACCATTACTTACAATAGCTAGTATATTTATTACTATAGACCTTAACAAATAAAACATATCACATGAAGTTTTTTCTTGAGATAGGCTATCTCATTATTTTTCTTTATTGCTTTGTTATTTGTACTTGACTGACTCAGAACATCAATCAGAGCTCCAGATATATGTTTTGGCCAAGGCCGTTTTATACCCCTTCAAATTCTAAAGTGAGAGGGTGAAGTGCAATTCTGAAAAACGTTAGGGTTATATTAAAATCTATAACAAGCATAAAGCATTTTTGTTTAATGATAAAAAATTAAAACTGACAGTTGTTTTTGTTGCTGTTTTTTTTTTAAAAAAAACTTGTACAACAAAAATTGAATCAGTGCAACAAGCTCTGGAAAGGCAGACTTTCCTAGGGGGTATGTTGTACCCAAGTGATGGAAACACAGGAAAGTTATTTCCTATTATAGTCATTAATTTGTTTCTTTATTTTTAAAAGTAAAAATGTATCAGCACTATTTTGCAATTGCACTGGTCAGTTCTTAATCTATTTTCTAATATTTCTGCCTGTTCTTTAGATTGAAACAATTATAACAATGAGAATTGAAATAAGAATTAATAAAAATAAACAAGAAAGTTTTTATCGCCTTTTCTAAAAAGGGTTTGGTTTCAGAGAAAATTTTGTCTGTAACTGTAAAACTGGGTAAGAAAATATTTGAGTACAAAACTGCAAGAGAATAAGTTTTTTCCAACAACAACTGACAGAAATTAAAATAGTTTTTGTTTTAAAATAGCAGAATATGACAATGTATGTCTATTCCTCTAAACAAATTGAATATAAGGTAAACTCCTACGATGATTATCTGCCACATTAATTTTGTCAATAATTTTACGAGAGTTACCTCCTTCTACATTTCTCACTTCCTGCCTAACTTTCGGTTTTTAACATACAGCGTTATTGACAACTGTAATTTAGTTTTCAATCCATTGAAAGTTAAACAGAAATATATTTTTTTTTTTTATGAAATGAAAACATCACTTTTTTTTGTTGAATTATAAACATTTATACTACAATTCTTTTGAGGGGAATTTTCTGCTGAAATAGGGGAAAAAAGCATATGATTTTGAGAGGGGAATGGGGCCGATATTCGGCCCCAAAAATGGCCAAACGAGTGCCCTGCAGGGGCTTTCTCTAGTTCTCCAATACTTTCTTTTCACCTTTTTCTGTTAAAGACCAGACAATTTTATTGATATCAGGAGGCCCAAATCTGTGTTCTGTATAGCCTCTTACAGGAAATTTTTCAGCAAAAAAGTTTTAATTTCTTTTTATTGGTTCAAAAGATACACAGCAGACACAAAATTTTGAAACTGATACAAAATGACTATGTGTGACCATGCTCTTCACCTGAAAAAGGTCAAACCTGCACTCTGCACATCGTCTCATTATACTTAACTTTTCTGCCAAGTAGTATCTATTTCCTTCCACCAATTACAAAAATACTAAACAGACACGAAAACTGATATAGACAGACGTACGATCAGGTGCTTAACATTATCATTATACAGAAACTTTTTTTGGATGTATCAAAAGCTTTATTTCAGAAAAGTGACCATTACTTGTAAACCGTATGGTAAAATTTTGCATATATGGTGTCCTTTTAGGTATATATCTGAACTATGTTGTCAATTTATCAGTTCCTTACAGTGCCTTAAAGAAAGCCTTAACTTTCCCAATTTTGTTCTTTTTTATCCTTGTCTTTTCTAATACCACATTGTTCTGCTTCAGTTTATTTTTTTTAATCAATTTTGTTTTCAATGGGCTGCTCACAATATTTTAGATTTTGATTAAAATATTATTAAATGGAAGTGGTAAAAAAAGCATAATGAGTCCTTTAACACATTAATTAGTCAACCAACAACAATATTAATGCACTAAAATATTTGTGAAGAAAGCAGAAATATAAAAGTAAATAAAAATATAAAGTATTTGCATACTGTTTGTACCTACTTGTACATCATCTTTGAAAGACCAGTATCTTTACCATCAATATGTACCCCATCAGCACATCTAAATAAGAATGAATTCGCAAGGCTAACCCAGAATACAGGCTCCCATGGCTGATATACCACACCTGAATGTGATTTCATGTAAGGTATATAATATAATTCAAACCTTTTATTTGAATAACAATAGATTTAACCACAAACATTGACATGTGCTCTTTTGTTAACAAACACATGAATGTTGTGGTGAAATTCTTATAGTATCCACTAATCTGATAATTAGAATTAAACAGGTCAGGGGATCCATGCATTGTCTGAAACCTTAACAAATTTATTAATAAAACAAAACCGCTCTTGCCTTCTTTTCAGTTTCAATTCACCTATTTTAGTGTATATTTGTCATGATAGGTAAGGTGTTTTCCACTGTGCTGTCATTATTTAAGAAAAATACCAGCAAAGCAGCTCATAAACATGTTCATTTATTTCTGCAATTCTTAACCAGAACATGCTGCTAATATACTAATCTCCACAAAAAGAATTCTACAAAATCATGAAGCATTCCCTAAAAATCCACTAACAAAAATTCTTCTTCACAATTTACAAAAATACTGGGCCATTTTTTATTTTAAAGAAAGGGCTCTTTTTCCTTACACTGAAAAAAGCCCTAATTACCAAAGGGCCATGATCTCAACAACTTTGAAACTTTGTAGACCACTACGTGATGAGGTCTCCCAGGGATTTAGGGCACTAGATGATACTGTTTAGTTTATTATTAAATTGGATGATGTGGTATTTCAGACCAACCATGATACATCAATGAGCATATCGGGGGTGGCAAATTCCCAGGTTGTCCCTAAGCTTATATGGACAAGTGAAATTTGACCAGAATTTACTATATTATATAATTATCATATGGCCAAGTACAAAATAGATCGTGGCAAAAACTGACAAGAAAATAAAAATTTTATTTTGCCGTCCCTTGCATATGGTAGACTTGTCAATTTTAGGATCACTAGCCATGCGGGTTCAAACCCCATCAGGTACATGAAACTTTACACTCATTGCTCAGTACTGTTTGGTCCAATAACGGAATAAAGAATGTCTACAAGCTTCACGCACAATCAAACTAAAATAAATTCTGTGTAAAATTAACTAACCTGGATACATAGCTACAACGCTTCCACATTGTACTTGTCCACTTGCCACAAAGACTCCTCTACCTCCATTCTCAAGCAAACTTTTCTGCCTCTCAATAGAAAACCCGCACACATCATGCATTAGCTTGCTGCATTCACTATATCTGGACTCCAATGATTCCTTCTCTTTTCTATTTTTGTGAAAGGCAGTGAATAGTAACAGTAAACAATCCTCAACATCTTCATCTGATATGATTTTGTCTTCCTTAGATGATGGTACTATTCTTGGTGAACTGAAAAAAAAGCAATGTTGATGAAATATTTAGTAACTGACTCAAAAATAGAGTATAAACTTGCTGTGAGTTCACTTAATTTTGTAGGCATGATATGATGAAATTTTGTGTTTTTGTCACAAAGGGCATTTTCTTAATGTCTTGTGACGATGTTCTCTAATGTTCTTAAATTAGTGGATTATCTATTTGTGCAAAAAGTAAAATGCTTAGGCCTAAAAAAAAAAATGTTGTGTTTCCGGTGGCCCGACCGACCCTATTTTTTAGCGCCGACCCAAAGTTTTTTATCGATGTACAAAAAAAAATGGCGCCCGTGCCGACCGTACCTAAGACGGGTTTTAGTATTGCGAGTCGACAACGATGTGAGGCACAGACGATTCGTGTTCAAATTACGTATTAACGCGCACCGGCAAATATGGCGGCACAACAAGCAGCCGAAGTGTCACTGCTGGCGATTTTCTTTAAAAATACAATCATAGTTTGGCAAAACAGGAATTCAAATTAATTGACCACAGCAAAACAGCTCAAAACATTTTTCGGACGTGCATGGTCATTTTAAGAGTGATAATATTAAAATTGAAGCCAGTTGTTCGGTAAGAATAAAAAAAATGAAAAAGAAAGTCGAGTCATGCCATTGGTAAAATTTATTTCCAAATATAAGATTGAAGTCTAGGTTTGGTAGTCTAACATTTTTAAGTACTTTTATATGCTATAGAATATAATTCAAAGTCCATATAATCCGTATCTGACATATCTACAATCGTTGATTGACTGAAAAAAAAAAGAAAATCCTACCTACCGACCCTACTTTTTTTGGCCTCGCCACCAGAAACACAACAATTTTTTTTTTAGGCCTTATAATGTAAATGAAATTATAATGCACAATAATCTTAAAGAGGACAAAATATTTCTTTGGTTCTTATATTCATGGTATGATATGTTCATGAAAAACAAAGTAGTACCCAATAAATAATAATGATGGTGTCTTAAGCACATCTCTTGTGCATATAAAATTCCAAATATACAAGCCTTTCCAGTATACTGGTTTGTTGATGTGTCTTTTGTGTTTTTAATTAGAGTACAGTAATCAAGACAATTGGTAAACACACATGCCCCAGAAAGCACAAACCTTAAAATCATTAATTTCTTGCAACTATTCAATGAATTTCTCTGACATGAAGTTTAATCATATATTTATATGAATCTTTTGACAAACACACAATCTGCTCCCAAGCTTTGCCGTATTGGAATGCGCAGCCCTTGAAGATGAAAACCAGTCTGGCAATAGTCAGAGCCATTCAGTAATATGTTGATTCCCATATTCAAAGCGCGGAACATTCCAATAAAGTAAAGCTGGGGAACCAATTGTGTATTTGTCATAAGGTTTTTTAAATGGATTGAGTAAACTGGCAATAATCTTGATATTTATTTCATTATTTGTGTTGTTTACAGGCTTCGCAAAACTGCTGAAAAAGTTGCCTGACATTCGGTCAGACAAACTTTCAATTCTTGTGTGACCGAAAGAACTTGTGTCTGACCGAATTATTTTTCCAAATATATGTATATGGTAATACCTTTGTGTTTTTTTTAAAGACATATGATAGCAACTTTTAAAGATTTGCAACACAATTTTATTCTCTTAAATAAAACATCAGTTTATCCAGATTGATGGACTCTGTCTGGAAATCGAAACATTCATGATCAAAATCACCATCATCATAATCAGAGTCCTTATCAAACAGCATGTCAATAGAGTAAGTGCCATCGTAATAATTCAGTAACACCGATATTTTCTTCCGAGTACAAGGTCATTGAAAGTCGTATGTATCTTGAATTTGATTGGACACTTATAAGAAACGGCGAATCAAAACTCGTTTTTACATTTTTTTAAGGGAGAAAACTCGGTCTTGATCGGTCTTGGATATATCGGTATTCGTACCGGACATAAGGTCCGGAACTCTGAAAAAAATATCGGTCTGCCTGATTTTTGCCGGACATGTCCGACGGTCCAGCAACTTTTGCAAAGCCTGTGTTTATATTGATCTTGAAGTTTAAAATTGACCATCATCGTGGAGAATAGTATCTTCTGTGTTGATAGACAAAACGGATTATGTGAAAATATTGGAAATCAAATAAAATACATCTACATGGTGATTTTGTCTGTAGGTGTGCGGATTTTTTCGGGCGAACATTTTCAACTTGTGTATTATTATAGACATTGAAATATGGTTTTTTTTTCAAAACTGCTTATATTTAGTTTTTTTGATATATATAATCAGTACATGTGCTGGGATAGACAAATACACATTTCATTTGGATTTTAAAGGTGTTTTGAGCTCCACACCCTAAGTGTCACACCCTAAGTGTTCGTTCATGCACTCACAGAAAAAGTAAATACTGTGATATCATAGAACCTGTGATATCATACATGTAGGAACTAAGTATACATCTGACAAGACTTCATCTACATCATGATAATACTGCTTCAAAATCTTTTACGATTACACTAAGCAGGTATAAATTGAATTGAGAGACAGCTATGAGATACAAGGGAATCTGGGAACCAGTCCCTATCTCTTCTTGAATAGATCCCTTGGTTCTTTTAAATATCTAGTGTATATCTGCTATTAGAACTCACAACAACTTCAATTTAACTGTGATAAAAAACAAGAGCGATCAGTAATCACATGTGTCGCCTCATGATGGCCAATTTCATGTTGGGACAAATTTTGTGACAGACGGACAGACAGACGGACAGTGCACAACTAGACTTGGTACTGATCATTCCAGGAAAGTTTGGATAAAATTGCACCAGTAGTTTATGAGTAGTCCGGACAAGCTTTTGTGTATCTGGCGACACACAGAAAAAAACACCTTTTTATCAAAGGGCCAAAAATCATTCAACCGGAAAACCCGTGCAATATGCGCAAGGACTTGAGCTACAGATCAATCCTGTAAAGTTTCATTGAAATTGCATTAGTGGTATAAGAGAAGTAGTCCGGACAAACTCAGTGTCTATTCTGGGACGCGCAATTGCGCGATTCACGCTAGTATTTAACAGATCGCGCACAATTCAAAATCATGTGCGTGAAAATTGCGCATCTATAAAAAAGTTAATAAAACCGTTAGAGGTGTAACGATTCATCGATGCATCGCGATCTGCCCTGTCCTCGATGTATGCATCGTAATAAAATTACAAATTCCAATATATTGCGATGCAATACAAATTTCATCTCCCGATGTATCGATATAGCGGGAACGTATCGCAATACACTAACAATATCTAGGAATATAAGGACAAACGTCTTTTTTGAAAGACTGAAGAAAGAAAACAGGCTTGGATGAAAACAATGAACAAGCGCGACTATTATCATATCATCGTTGTCATCTCGTTTCCCCATGTCCGCAATCATTTAACGGTAACTAACCAAGTTTTATCAATTCCATATAAATGGGCTGGTGTTCTTTGAACTTGTTTATAATTAAAAAACAATTAGAGATCTATGCGTTTTCAAGAAAAAACAACCTACAAACATGAATTTGTAATTTTATTTAGTCGCACTTGATGTCGGATTAAAATAGTGATGATGACAACATTCCCATGTGATATTCGTCACGTATTTATACTTTCATTTCCGTTGTCATCATTTTCCCGTAAAAAAAACAACAAAACAAACAAACAGAAAACATGTAGACTGCAAAAAAATTAGAAGGGGAAACTATAGTTAATCCTCCCTTGTCATATAATTCACGAGTTTTGGGAACATTATAGACAGTGTTGTATAATGTGGAAGACCGGACGTCGAGTGTTTGCAAAATTTGCAAACTCAAAAAAAAACAATTATACTCTGGGGTTGAGCACAAATCTTTCGAGAAAACTGAGAGTGAAACGGATAAACTGTTATTTTCAAAGTTGTTGACCTATTTGTTAACCACTTGTTACTATTTTTTGTTACTATTTTTTTTCACAATGAAAATCTTTAGTGGTGTATTGTAAAACTGAAATGTTAAACTGCCATATTTACAGTAGTGGACTTTAGTGTTAGAATAGTAGATATCAGTTTGCTGTTTTGGTATAATTAACAATACCTTTAATCCTTAAGTAATCAGAAAAGTAAATTGTTAAAAGATCAAAATCGGAAACCAAGTTGTTAGCCTGGGATTCAGGCGTTGATATTTTTTATTTATTCATAACTTACGCGCTATTTCATACTCGATCGTCATAGATAACACAACATCTCTGGTTTTGATAGTATCAACGCCTGGGGAAACCTGCGGGGTTTCCCATGTAATTATCGACTAATGATAATCCTATTAATAGACCGATTAGCACGTGACCAACAAATAACATGACTAAATCGAAATCGAGGCGAAGATGATAAATGTTGAAAATTTGACGCCATTTACCATTACAAATTGAGTCCAGCACAATTATTTGATGCTCACACACTTTATCTACTTTAACTAATCACACCTGTTGATCAAATTCACTTATCATGCAATAAACTTTGTCAACGAGTGTTAGTTTTTAATCGGAAATGGTGTTTTGAAAGCGAGGCTCCGTAACTGTTCGTTGAGCTTTGGGTCACTCCGTGGAAATTCCGTTTCTATTTTTAGAAACTAGTTTGCTGTTGCATGAGTTATCGTTCTTTAATAACACCCGTAATTTTCGGGGTGTATACTAGGTGGCGCTTCGATCGAAAATTGTATTTCCCCGGGCTGTCGATTTGCCGAACAGAAGCACATAAAAAATCGACAGACTGGAACCCAGGCTACCAAGTTGTAACAACAAGATAAAGAGTTTATTTTTTTGTTATTGTAATAGTTTTGTATAATATTCATAACTATGCTGTAAACAAATGGCCAAATTTTTATACACCAAGTCTGAAAGTCAGTATCGTGATACGTATCGCATAGCAACATAAGAATCGCAATATGCATCGCATTTCTTCAAAGTATGCAATACATATCGTGAATCGCATCGTTTTGAAAAACAAATATCGTGATACGTATCGTGACAGAAAAAAAAAGCAATGCACAGCCCTAAAAACCGTAAAACTTCCATCCCGCATTATATTTGGTTGTTTTGTTTACATTTACACCGAAAACCGAAGGGAGGTAACTGTAAGCTAATTATAATAATTTAGTACCGTATGGTACTGGTTACGTGAGTTGACGGAAATTAACGGAATGTTCCGTATCGACCGGAACTAGTGTGCTAGGTCTGACAGTTGGGCGCCATTTTAGTGTAGTAAATAATCAAGAAAAATGAGGCAATTCCTAGCTTGGCTACGATCTAGACGTGAAAGATAGTTCGATTATTTGTATTGCCAATCCCTTTATAATCAATCGCGGCAGTTCTGTAATAATTTGTTTTCATTTAAAAATTAAGGGGGGACAATTTCTGCTGCCTCGGTTGAACGCCTCAGTGTAAACTTAATGCAGACGATTTAACATTGGCAGTTTATATTGGCACCCTTTGATTTTGAAAATCGCCCCCTTTTTTGAAATAGAGGGGGGAAAATCACCCCTATTTTTCAATTCCTAGAATAGACACTGCAAACTTTAAAAATAAAAATTATTAAAGGGCCATAACTCTGACAAAAATCATTGAACCGGAAAATGCTGACAATATGCACAACTAGACTTGGTACTGATCATTCCTGTAAAGTTTGGATGAAATTTCACCAGTAGTTTATGAGGATTAGTCCGGACAAGTTTTGTGACGGACGGACAGACAGACGGACAGACAGACGACGGAGAAGTGATCCCTATATGTCGCCACTACTCCGTAGAGGCGACACAAAAATCAACAAAAAGTGAACAAAAACCAAAAAACAATCAACAAAATGTATCAGGATGTGGGTACGAAATTGATTATGGACGAATTGTTCCTAACTTTCACTAAAATCTGCATTAATGTGCAAATTTTGCACGGAAAGAAAAGTGAAAAGCAACCTTTCGTTTATATTTGAAGCTAGCCACGGTACAAATCTGTATTTATATTGGTTCCATCTTCGTGCAAAATGCTTAATCATTGCAATAACTTTGCATCCCAAATTGCAAAATCCGTGCACATGTCCTCTGGTTACCCCTATTGTGTAGGAAACATAATGTCTATTAGGGTCACGCAAGGAACCAATCCCGGCCAATCGGAATATCTCGGTTATTATTTTGAAAGAGCCGAGAAGGTGCGATTGATACTTGCCAAGGTACCACTAAAATACGCAATGGAGATATTTTGGCGCAATGGACGCAACGGGCGCAACGGAGATATTATTTTAGGGAAAAAAACGAGACAGCGCCTTAATTTGAGCCATTATGTTACATTTGAGCATGTAAAATGATTGTTTAGCACTAGTGAGTAAGTTAGTTTTAAAACATTTCAAAAATTGTATATGTTTAATTGCACTGGAGGGTTATATGCCTGGCGAAATGGGCATTTCATAGCACAACGGAGATAATTTTAGCAACATATACTAAGAGATTAATACACGGTAGAGTAGGGCCGGAATGTAATAATCGGCCCGCAAAATGAATAATGGCCCCGAGGGCTTCAGCCCGAGGGCATTATTCATGTCAGGGCCGATTATCACCTTCAGGCCCTACTCTGCCGTGTACTAATGTCTTTAATACACTTGGTAAATCTAATAGTAGCATTTTTTTTCTAACAAAGAAATAGATCTACATTTAAATTTCTTTCGTTTAAATTCCTGTCTGCATTTCTACTGTACTGTACTGTTCAGTAACTTTTACAGAGTTGTTTACTTTTTGTATGTTCAAAGTGCACTACTGTAGAATCTTGAAGCTTATTGTATTTTCATTTTTTTTTTGGAATAAATTTGCCGTATTATTTCTTTAAATTTCACGTTTAAAGTCTCATAATAAAATCAAGCGATTCGTGCTTAAAACCTACTTTCACTTTTACAGTTAACTGTTTGATGACGTAAAATATGACGTCATTGTTTCAGTTTGTGCACGTGCACATGTTCAGCGGGCTGATAACTAGTTCTCGGCCCTGGGCCGCAAACTCATAATAGGTCACGTGACACTCATAATCAGTTGAAATCATAGGCGATTTTGTTACTATATATAGTAACAAGTGTATTAAATACTAATATAAGATATTGATTAAAATTAAGGTTATTTGAATAAATAAATAAACAAATAAATAAATAAATAAAAGAAACCAGTATAAAAACCTTAATCGTATAGCAATTCTGCAATTCAGATGATGTAAAGGATTGTGTGCAGGCGAAATGGACATTTTGTCTGCGTAACAGAGATTTTTAGTATACACCTTGTACGTTTATAAATCACAATTAGTAAACTATAGTTAATGTAATTTTTATATTCAAATGGACAATTTTCAACTTATAATGTTTTGAAAAATTATATCATGACAAAATGGACTTATCCTCAGTGCAGATTTGCGGTATAGATTGAAAATAAGATCGTGGCTACGAAAATAAGATTTATTTTTTAAATAGTGCATTTAATTTATCTGTTTAATAATTACGTTAATTATATATTAAATTTATACATTTTTTAATGATTTTACAGCGCATTAAATTTTCAGCACCAAAAAAATATTTAAAAACGTGCAGTTTGAGCCGAAAATACATACGTACTGTAAGTCTTCAATTCAATTCATTTATTCACTCAGATCATGCAAACATGACAACATGAGGTAATAATACAATTACATGTACATAATAAATGAGGCTTCAGAATCAAACAGTATCAAAATAACATGATATATAAATTGTTAACATAAATATTGCGGGAGAGTCAATATTACAACAAATACTTCTATAGGGTTCTTCACAACATTAAATTTATACAATTTTTGTCTCATTTGAATCTTAATATAATTTCTTTAATAAATAAACAAAGTTTTTTTGTAATCTTGAAGGTTAACATCAGTGTTCATAAGAAGATCAATAGAATGTATATTATGTTTCTTTTAATAGTTAGGTTTCCAAAAACGTTTCCTGCTGTTATCAAAACACGGACACTCAAAAATATAATGAAATTCATCACTAATTGATCTATCACACAGTGTACAGACACGCCTGTTAAGTTCGATGTAATTCCAACTTCCGGTTTCTACTGGCAATTTGCTATTTATTAAAAAGAAAAACAACGTTTGTCCTTAATAATTATATGAAGAATTAAATCATTAAAGATATTTACTGAAGTGGTATAATGAAAATTAATTTTAAATTCAAAAATATAGAAATATCCTGTGATGATGAAGTAAAGCTGTTTGGTGTAAACTTAGATTTTATGTTAAATTTTAATTCACATGTGTAAAATATTTGTAGAAAAGCCTCTAAACAACTGAATGTACTAAAGAGAATTGGCAAACATCTTAATAGATTAAGCAGACTCACAATATACTACTCTTTTGTTATGTCAAATTTTAATTATTGTCCTTTTACTTGGAATTTTACAAATGAATCAAACACTAGGAAAATAGAAAAATTCAGGAAAGAGCTTCAAGAGTTATTTATGATGATTTTAACAGTAACTATGATCAACTACTTGAGAAGTCCGGCCTTATTTGTTTGAAGGTTAGGAGGTTAAGAGCAATTGCTTTAGAAACATAAACATTCTAAATAATATATCTCCTGTTTATTTAAATGATTTACTACATCACACTAATATTGTTGAGGTACCTTTACCAAGAACTGATAGATACGGTAAGAAATCTTTCCGGTATGCCGCTGCCAAACTTTGGAATCAACTTCCAGCACCCAATTGTATAAACGTTGGTTAACTTTAACCACTGGGTTAAATCCATGGTTTGGTTAACTTTTGGGTTAAACTTTGGTTAACCAATTGTATAAAATTTTGGTTAAATTTAACCAGGGTAAATTTCTGGTTAAATTAACCCACGTATTTGCAGTACATTTTAATTTGTAAACAAAGCCCATATATAGCAACCATACAAGTTATTCGTGGTATACTTGATACCTAAACACCAGTTCCAAGGTCATAAACAAGTTCATCCTACGTAAAAGTTATATTTTGTGCATTTGTTTAATGATGATATGTAATTAGGGTGGTGACAATTAACATCTTCATTTAAACTTGAACCGATTTTAACTCTACTATCAAAATTTTCGATTGTAATAAAAATGGAAGCTAAACCATGTGTCAATTTTGACATATTCCGCGAAAATGACATAACCGGATATAGAATTTATTGCATGTCGGGACTAGTATTGGTTAGTTTAACCAGCGGTTAATTTTAACCATTTTGGTTAGTTAACCTTTTGGTTATCTCGGTTTATACAAGTGACTAACCAAATTGGTTAGTTAACCAAAGTTGGTTAAATTTAACCCAGGGTTAGCGTTTAACCCAGGGTTAATTTAACCAACGTTTATACAATTGGGTGCAGATAATTTTAGACAAACTTCATCTTTTAACCTTTTTAGATCACTGATAAATACTTGGCAAGGGGAGAATGGCTCCTGTACATCATGTAACATCACATAATACATGTACATTATCAAAAACCAAAATTTTGGCAGCGACAAGCTGGATGTTTCAAGTTTTTAGTTACTTTTGCTATGTATTTGTCTCATCACTGTGCTTGTTTTAATTACCTTGTATCAGGTGCTTTTGTGTGCTTTAATTGTGATAGATTTATTTCAATTTTCTTTATGTGCTATGTATCATTTTTAATATACATGTATACTTGAATGTTTGTGTGTATATTAATGTCAGGGTTGTTGTTCATTATGCATATCTTAACCACCTTTTGTCATTCTATTGCTAAGTCCTAACCATGCTTTATTCATTTATATATAATTTGCTCTTTTTATAGAAGTCAGTGTGTCTATGCATCTTACTGTGTACATGTATGCTTGATGTTTCTCTGCCTAAATACTTGTGTGTTTTATATAGGCTGTAATGTGAATCTTAACCTTTAGTATGCATCTTAATGGATATTTTTAGTAGATCTTAACGTTTAGTATGTATCTTAATGGATATATTTTAGTAGATCTTAACCTTAAGTATGTATCTTAATGGATATTTTGTAGTAGATCTTAATATGTATTACTTCTTACTTTTTGCTAGTGCAATGCTGTTTGTCTTCTCTATTTGTTAGTGCAATGCTATTTGTCTTATTTATTATAACCATTCTCTTCTTTTATCATATCTTAAACATGTGTATTATATTATTGTAGTCGGTGTAAAAAGCTCATCAGAGCTTATGTTTATTGTTGATGTATCCGACTTAAAAATAAAATTTACTTGACTTGACTTGAAAGTCTGTTATATTATTTAAAAATGTGGAATTATAAATATTGTTTTGAAAGATTATATGAAAATGGAGGACTTATCCGCGGCGCAAAGGAGATACATGTATATTTAAGTGCAACAGAGATTTTTTCATAAAGGCACGTCCTAAATTACAACGTTGAAAATAGAATTGAACGAATGTTGAATTTATAGCATCATGTTGAAAGTCTGTTTTTAAATTTAATAAGAAAACTGGGAACAAATTGTAAGAACAATTACAACCTGGCGGATATAGACTTATTATCGACGCAAAGGAGACTATATCGTTCTGCACAATCCAGTTTTCTATTGTCATATAAAATACACAGTGTGCTTTATAGAGTCCAAGGAAAAATACAACTTTGTTCACGACCATGCTTCCACGATACACGTTATTATCAGGAAACGGACATGAACGTACGGTTCTTATAAGTCAAAAAATGTAGCATAACTGATAACTTTCATAACCATATAAGCTAGGGAAATGGACTTTTTATATTCAATAAAACCATAGAAACAACATATTAAAACGGAGATAAGAACGGTATTACAACAATACAATGTTTATAATAAAGAAAATATTGCTTTTTAATGATTTCTATATTTTCAAAGTATTATTTTATTCAGCACATGCTAATGCAAATTTTAAAAAAATGCATTGCTAATCGTATTTTATTGTTTTATTTTAAATTTTGCCCTCCGTTGCGCCCGTTGCGCCAAAAAATCTCCATTGCGTATTTTAGTGGTACCGCTCGGCAAGGCGTTCCGAATATTGTATACAAACCCACGTGCTTGTTGACCAAATTTTTAACTATCAGAAAACATGTCTAATTTAGTTGTTTTTCCGTGGATGAATAGGGAAGAGGTTCGATTTGTTTATGAGGAACTGTTTAGTACAGATGTCATTAAGCAAAAACATGCGATCGAACGAATATCAGTGTGGAAGAGTAGGTCAAAGAAGCGATTACCAGCTGCTGTAGAGAGCACATCTTCCTTCATCAATGCACATTTAGCAAGCAGAGAAGTCGATGCATCATCGTTTGGAGTAGACTTTCATCTGCGTAACTTATATAGCATGGCAGTAATTAGGTTTGTGAATCACATTACAGAAAAGGGTCAACAAGGAGCATTTGCAAAACCAGTTCATGTTGTTGCAGCAGTGTTGGGTGTTCCAGAATGGATTGTTGAGTTGCGACATGAGGCAACACATGGTTCTTTACCATCGCTGAATGAGTTAACAGCTGCTTCTTCATGGGCGCTCGAATGGTTAAAGAAAAACTTTTGGGAGCCACAGACATCTGAAACCTTTGGCATTGCTTCTTTAAGTAGCGCAGCAGGTGATATATTGAAGGATTCTCTTGTAACTTACATGCAAAGAAGATTCAAAGAAATCAGTAGTGGAGAAGCTTCATCTAACAAACAGCTGCTGGTGAACATTGATCACATGTTCAAACAACTTGGAAGTAATGCATGTCCAATTCTGATTGCAGATGGGTACCTTATTCCTACAGTAGAACAGTTAGATAGTCTTGGATATAATTATGCAGACTTGCATTCAAATGGTAGCCTTTTGCTCCCACCAAAAGTTCTAGAATTCTGGAAAAAAGTCATTCTTTTAATGGTCAAAACAAATTTGATTGCTGAACTTTCGCTTCATATGGCATCAGTTATAACAGAGGAATCTTCACCAAGAAACTTTTTAGTTCTCTGCTGGTTGTACACTTTTATTTGGCATAATCAAAGTGACAAAATAAAAAGAAATAAATCCAAATCTCATTTATTCCCAAGGCCTATCGAAATGCCATACATGTGTTTGTTAGAAAAATGTATATATCTAAGAAACAAGGATGCAGAATCATTAATTAATCTATTGGTAGAAAATGCTAATCTTGATATTGAACAGAAGCAAAATCTAAAGCATTTTCTTTCAGTGTGCAAAACTGTTGATAAGTGCAATGAAGAAAATTCTTTCAGAAAAGTTTCAAATATAGCTGATATACAAGATATTGTACATGAAGATAGAAAATCTTGGAAAAAATGTCTAGAACCAGTTGATTGGTCAAACCATCCAATAGGGCTATTACCTAATCAAACACTTGATTATACGTGTCTTGATCTTTCCTCATCTCAGAATAATTTATCTGTTGATATCAGAAGTTTATCATGGGAAAGTGATGAAGAAGAAATGGATGACCAGTCAAGTTTGGATCTCTTGAACACTGGGGATTCTCAGAGTGCAAGTGTAAATGACATATCAAAAAATAATTCTGATCAGTTGGCCTATTCCAGCCAGTTGCAGTGGAATGACAAAATGAAATTGACAATTTCTAACAAAATGCAGTTGTTTTAATATGTATCATTATATGTATATTTTAATATGTGTATATGTGACAACATTTTATAAAAAAGTAACTACTATTTACTCTTTCTCAGTGATGATTTTTCCATCTAATTAGGCACGTCTTAATATTTATATAAATAAAAAGAGAAGAATTCAGTTTTTCATCCCTTTTCTTGTTTGCCATTTAGTACGTTAGGAATAGACCTCACTTAAAGATCCTGTATGTGGTAATTAAGGTTGTTAACCACTTTTAAGTGAAATTTTATATATGTATATAATTATGTTCAAACATAGAAGAATACAAAAATATGTACTGCAAATATTTGTCCATATTATATGTAATCATTTAACAATTAAAACATGGCCTTGAGGGCAATATGCAAGTTTATGGACTGATTGGTCAGACTGAGGAAGGTTGGCACAAAGTGCAGCTGAGGGACATATACCTTCCGAGGTCTGACCAACCAGTCCGTAAACTTGCATTTTGCCCAAAAGGCCAGGTTTTATTTGTTATGTTATACCGAATCTAAATCCTTTCATCCCTTTTGTTGCTGTCATTTTTACTATAATTTGCTTTTAAATAATTTATTTGTTCAGTGTGTCAAATATTTCAAACCCTAGTCAGATTTTTTTTTTTGTGATACAGCAAAAAAAAAATCATGCTCTTTTGTCATTCAATTTTTGTTAATCAAATTAAACAGGCAAAAAAAACGAACTTTAAGATCTTCACAAACTGTATTTATAAATAAAATTTATAAGCAATTTAAAGACAAATCATGACTTTTGATCAACATGTTATAAATTTATGTGAAACAAAACAATAAATTCAGTTAAAAAAATCATTTAACAATAAAATATATTATACCTCATTTGCATACGCATTATGTATTTAATATGACGTCATCCAGTCCATATAAGAATTATGGACCGCCCCTGGTCTGTATGCGGTTTATGGACAGGATGACGTCATATTAAATATAGAAGGGCGTATGCAAATGAGGTATAATATTAAAATATATGCATTCATTTCTTATTGAAAAATTTGACTTGACTTTATAGAAAATAAATTTCTTATTACCTCCCATGAAATGTAAATTTAGTAATATCTTTACAAATAATGCTTTTTTGGAACTTACAATATTGATAAATCTGCATTATGTTTATGATGTAAACCGATAAAAAATGAGTTACAGGATCTTTAAGATAAAGGGCAATTTTAACTTGATAAGGAAACATCACTTATTTCCAAGATACATGTAAGACTATATTAAAGAGCATGTACAAATTAATAAAAGTAAAAAGGTAAAGTCTAATTGACAGTAGAATAGAATAGAATGTAGCAATAAACACTTTGAACTTTGTTCGGGACATAACTCTAAAGATATCAACATGAAACTTTGTAGGTAGATAGATCTCTTTGGGTAGAAGTGCAGTGCTAAAGAACCATAACTCTGTCTTACCTAATTTTGAAGGTATTGCCAGAGACATAGATAACAATTGTTATATATAATAGATAATGTTATCTATGTCTCTGGTATTGCCCTTTGTTCATTTTTACACTGAACTTTGTCCGGGACATAACTCTAAAAATATAGGAAATATCAACATTAAACTTTGTAGGTTGGCAGATGTTATCTGTATAAGTGCAGTGCAAAAAAACCATTACTCTATCTTGCCTAATATTGGAGTTATTGCCCTTTGTTTATTTTTACACTTTGAGATATCAACATGAAACTTTGTAGGTAGATAGATCTCATTGGGAGGAAGTGCAGTGCTAAAGAACCATAACTCTGTCTTGCCTGATTTTGGAGTTATTGCCCTTAGTGCATTTGTATACTTTGAACTTTGACCAAGCTTTAACTCTAAAACTATAATGAAACTTTGTAGGTAGATAAATCCCATTGGGTTGAAGTGCAGTGCTAAAGAACCATAATTCTGCATTGCCTAATTTTGGAGTTATGGCCCTTTGTTCATATTTACAGTTTGCACTTTATTTAAAACTATAAGAGATATCAACATGAAACTTTGTAGGTAGATAAAGCTCATTGGATAGAAGGGCAATGCAAAAGAACCTTAACTCTGCCTTGCCTAATTTTGGAGGTATTTCCATTACTTTGAACTTTGTCCGAGCCATAGCTCTGAAACCATAAGAGGTTTGTTGGTAGATTGATCTCATTGAATAGAAGTGCAGCGCAAAAGAACATTAACTCTACCTTGCTTAATTTTGGAGTTATTGCCCTTTGTTCATTTTTATTCGGGCATAGTGTTACCCTGTTCCGTCCTTCCATCATCATCAGTTTACATTCATGATCTTAGTAACAGTTGCACACATTCAACTAAAATTTTACATATGAACATATCATGAGAAAATACAGGTCAAGTTCGAATTTGGTCATGGTTCGATGATTTTTGAAAGAGTTATGCCCCTTGATGAAATTTTCAGTTTCCGTTCATTATCTCCCCAACGGTATTACACATTCAACTCAAATTTGACATATGGGTACGTCAAAGGAATGCGCAGGTCAAGTTCAAATTTGGTCATGGTTTGATGATTTGTGGCAGAGTTATGCCCCTTTCAATTTGAAAATATGAAATTTTCAGTTTCCGTTCTTCATCTCCCCAAAGGTATGACACATTCAACTCAAATTTGACATATTCTTATTTTCTCTCTTTGGAGTGGCTAATAGAACAATTTAGGGAAATCTTAACAAATGCCATTTCATTAGAACTCATTCCTCAATCTGTCTTTAAGTCTCAGTTACACTCTTGTCTGCAGGATAACCTAAAAAGTATTGAAGGAATTTAAATAAACTTCACACAGTGACAAAGACTGTTGAAAAATAATGCAGTTTTAAGGCTGGTGAAGGGAATGCAGTTATAAGGAAACTTTACTATGCATGATTTTTTTAAAATCTCCCATTATGTTTGCCTTAAGTATAATTTGAAATACACCAACGATATCTCTTTGAAACTAAACACAGTAATAGAGACTTGGAAAAGTGCTGTGTAAAAGAACCATAACTGTATATTGCTTAGTTTTTCAATTATATCCTTTTATTGGAGCAATTATGTTACAATTCACTCCAATGTTCATCTGAAAAATAACTTTTTATGCCCCCAAAAGGGAGGCTTATTAAAATCGCACCGTCTGTCTGTCGGACTCTGTCTCCACTTCATTTGTGTCGGACTGTAACTTTGTCTTTTGAAATAACTTGGCACAAATGTCTACCACATCAAGACGATGTGATGCGTCCAAGAGCCATGTCCTTACCTCAAACGTCAAGGTCACACTATCATTTTGAAGTTTCACATTATTGCAATTGGAGTAAATAGGTACATACATTCGTGTCCGGACTGTAAATGTCATACATTGAGGGATTTTGAAATGACTTGGCACAAATGTCCACATTAAGACAATGTGTGGTGTCCAAGAACCATGTCCCTACCTCAAAGGTCACACTACTATTTTGTAGTTTCACATTACATCGCAATTAATTAGGTACACACATTCGTGTCCGGACTGTAACTTTTGTCATGCATCAACTGATTTTAAAACAACTAGGACATGGGTGCCCCACACTCCACTTTTTTGTTAATCTTATGACTCAAGGTCAAATATATTTTGTGCCACAAGTTGAAACTAAAAATCAGGGCAAGAACTTTACAAATACTGAATAAATCCACAAGCAAACCCAAAGGTGCACAAGAACAAATGCTGACCAACGTTCTGGCCTACAGGTCAAATACTTTTTGAGCTATGCATGTACAAGTTGAAAATTGCAAATTTTTACTAAGTCAGGGGTAATAACTCTTAACAAAACTGAAAAATCCACATGCAAAACCCCAGGTGCACAGCTTCAGTGATGTTGATTATTCCTGTAATGTTGGTTGATTCTAACTCAAGCACTCGAGGAACACAACAGTTTTTACTAAGTCAAGGGCAATCACTCTAGAAATACTAGATAAATCCACAATGCACAATACACATGCTGACGAACATTCTGTTGAGCTCCACGGCTCTAGGTTAAATACTTTACACAAATTGAAAATTGCAAATTTTTACAAAGTCAAGGGCAATATCTCTGACAAAACAGAATAAATCACCGTTATGCTGATCAACATTCCGGCAAAGTTTCATGACCCTAGGTCAAAACAGAATAAATCGCCAGGTGCACAACTTCACAACATTCCTCTAGTTTCATTCGCAAGCAAATATCCAGGACTGGTGCACAACTACACAACATTCCTGTTTAAGTTTCCAAGACTAGGTTAAATACTCCTCAAGGTATGTGCGACTCAAAATAAGAACAGACAGAAGGACAAGGTAAATCTAAATGCCCCCTATAGAAGTATAAAGGGGGCACAAAAATGAAACTTGTTCGTTGGCAAAATATGAGAGAACTTTGCAGCCGAAGGTCAGTTAACTACAACTTGAAAATTAAATTTTCATTGATGGTCATTAATCTTGCCATTCAAGAAAGGATTTTTTTTTTACTCCTTTTATAGTAACTATGTATATGTTTCAAGTAAAGGTCATGCTCTTTCATATACCCAGTTTACCTAGGCTAAATTTTGGATATGTTATTGAATATGACAGGGTCTTGTAGAATCGGAGGGTTATTTTCAATCTCTTCAGTTTTGTTTATTTTTACGCCTTTTCTCAACAGTATTTCAGTCTTATAGGCGGGTAGTTACCTAACCATCGTTCCTGGAGAGTTACACCAGTACTAGACTACCTTCCTCTGTGCTAAACTACCAAAGCATCTCCCGGGGATAGAACCCACGCCCAAGAGGTAACTGGATTAGAAGTCATGGACTAACCCCTCGACCATGGAGGCGGTTTTAGACAAACAGATGGCTCCCGCTAAACAACTGCATTACAAAATCCCCTTTCTGATTTCATTGAAAGGTAAGAACGACTTTGGTAAAATTAATGCTGCAGTTAAGCATCTTGCCAAGGGAATGGGCGATGTACTGGCATCAAGTTTTCATTTTCCTGATAAAAGATAACAAAAAGTAAATATAAATTTTTGTAAGTTTTATCTGTATTTATTAAATAACAAAATTATTTGCGCTGAATATCTCGCACATGGTTGACAATGGTTAATACACAAATAATGAACCACCCTGCCCCAGGATTCAGAGTACCCTGGAATCATGCATATTCCTTCAGCAGCCTAGAGGTATTTATAAATAAGGATTTGTCAACAAATATACACAAGCACAGCATAAAACAATTAGCACTAGTTATGCCGCCTAGGAATTTTAGTATGTTTTTTTTTTCTAAATGAACAGCATCATTCAATGCTTTCAAATTTATCACTTAACAAAAAATCTAAGTTTTCTCCTGTCTATTCACACTGTGATAGTTTACCAAACATCCAGCTGCCTGAAGCTATTTAAATCTCATAGAGACCTTTATAAAGACAAAGGAATCCTTCTAACATTTATTCTCTATTAAACTGACCACTCAAGAGATCTTTTATACACCAACGCTCCTCTATCACACAAAAATTAATCACAAAGTGTCCGCTCCCTATAAAATAATGCAGATGAAAAGTCATTTCAATGTATGTGTTTGTGTAATGGGAATTACAAGAATGAACATAATTTAACCATGATTCAAAGACGAGAGATATCAAAACGCAAGTCTGTTATAGGTTTAGCCCTTTAAAGGGCATGTGTTATTTATGCGGCAGATTTTATCAATGATGGGAAGTCATTCTCATCATCAAACTTTGGTGCAGCATTGGCAGACCTTCGGTCACCTCTGCCACCTCCAGATCTTCCACCGCGTGCTCCTCTAGGTCGGCGTCCACCACGACCTCTCCTTGGTGAATCATTAAATGTGATCCTTATTTCATTGACCAGCTTCTTTTGTCTCATTTCATCCTCCTGAAAGAATGTGATATTTCTATACACAATAACGAACTATTGTTCACATAAAACATAAAATCATTACAAGGAAAATTACTCTACTAAAGTTAACTATTAACCAGGAAGGAAAATACTGTACTTTATAATTGACATGCTATGAAATTTAATGAATGTAACTCCTTGATAAAACTTCACAATGAGATGGGTAAGAAGACATATCAATAACTTATAAAACAGAGTAAAATATGTCAGTTTAAATAATGATGTTTCATTGTTTAGTTTAGTCTATATAACACGTTTGCCCACTCATGTACACCTTTTATATAAACATCCAGACAGAATTATTATAAAGAAACTAGCTTGACTATCATTTCCATTAAGGATATTTTACAAGTATTATGAAACTTACATCTTCTTCCTCTTCCTCGGATTCTTCCTCTTCGCTCTCCTCGTCACCTTCACTCTTACGATAAACACGAGCACTCTTCCATTGTGATGTGTCAACACCTTCATTAGCCTTTCTAAGTTTAAATTGGGATTTCATACGTTTGGCATCTTCCATTTTTTTCCATTCCTCTAAAGTAAGCTGTTTGGGTCCTTCATCCTCGGGTTCCTCAGCTGGGGCAGATTCAGTGCTCTCGCTGAAAATTGAAAAATACAGTAAATTACATCATCGAAAATCATTTTATTTACATTGTTCATTTTTGTTAAAAAATTACTACACATCAATTACATACTGTGCTTGTTGAGGAATATTTTCGGTTCTCCAGTAAGATACTTTACAAGAACCATACTGCTCATCATTACAAGCCATCTTTAGTTTCATAGACAGTATGTCTCAGTGATGTTCTATGCCTATTGGATATACTGAATACTGTACAACTATAATGTCTGCAACATTTTACAAACAAGAATGCCTGATGGACCACTTTTTTCCACTATCCAGAATTTTTATTTCTAAATTCATCCTAAACATGTTGGCAATTATGTGCTATCTGAATCCATTTAAATATTTTATGTACAGGCAAATCTTTTATGTACTTTCAAATGGAATACTTTTATTCATATATATATTGATAGTATAATTTCAGAATTTAAGGAGCTTGAGGCAAACTATTTTCAAAAGACTATTTGTATAAGAAATATAATTTAGTACACAGACATTTTTTTACATCATTTTAAATGCATATGGAAAATATTTAGAACAAATTGAAGGATATTAAAATTCTTAACTTGCACATTAATATACACATATAAAAAATAACCTTTATATTTATATAAAGTCATCAAAAACTTGTAAACTTACTTGGGGTCCTTGTTTTCTGTGTCTTCTGCCTGTGGGGTCCATTCCTGTGGTTCTTCCGTTACATCTTTCATCTGCTCCCTGAAACAGCAATAAGTAACTTTAAAGACACAATAGTTAAATAAACAAGAATGCTTATGTATTGCAGTGATAAGGAAAATATATACAAATTAGTATCATGTACTTGAGACTTTTGTTATTACAATCATTTTCTTAATATCTATTTCCAAAACACTGTAGTGAAAATAATATATAGAAATTAGTAACTGAATTTTTACTGACTGAAGGTCAATGTTTTTCTTTATTTCAAATTGAGATGTAATGTTTTTAAAGAAGTTACATGACATAGTAGAAGCACTTTGTTATAGACTGCTGATCAACTGAAATCTTACTATTGATATATGTATACCCTAGCAAAAATGTTACTTTGACATTCAAGTGAATAATTACTGAATAGTTTAACATTCAGCATGCAACTGTTACAGTAAAAACATGCAGTAACTGAACACAGATGAAAATCAAGGCCTGTCTGAGACTATTCACTATATATACAGTCAAACGTGTATTAAGCGACCGGGCAAGGGAAAGACCAAAAACGGTCGCTTAATGAAACGGTCTCTTAAGACAGTCAGCATGATATAAAAGTCAAAATTTATAAATGACATCTTTTTTATTCGATGGGATTGTTTTTCAACTTCATTTTTATATAAATGTTGAATAATAAGTACGCTCCGATAATCTAAACTGATGCAAATGTAAAAATAACGTTCTGATATTTATTGACAAAATCAGTTTTGATCCATTACGTACATGTTTGACATTTTTTCCAGAATTTTTTAACTTCTCCGTTGTTTTTCCTTGTCTCCAACACGAAAACCCTATTAGTGAAGATGTTTTCTGTTGTGCATTTTTTCATTTGAAATAAACAAACTACATCTATTTGTTACGATTAATTTAATGGCTGATCAAGTTCAAGGTCAATTCAATGCAGTCTAAATGTCAACAAGCGAAGAGTATACACCATCTCAGTATGGGCGGAGCGTTGCATTGTTTATCCGATATTATTGGATAATACACGTCACGCGTATACTTAACTTCATTTGCATACGCTAAAACGGTATGGGAAATAGAGTTTTTCACACGTTTATTGTTGTGTTTTGATTGCTGACACTTGTGACATAACGAGGTGGCGTTCTCTAAAAACACAATTACTTGACAGGTAAAAGTGGTCGTTTAATGAAAAGATTGATGTCAATTAGATGACTAATAAGCGGTCGCTGGTCGCGTTGAGCAAAAGTCGCTTAATACATTAAAGATATAGAGAGAAAATGATCGGGGGGAATTTAAAGTGGTCGTTTAAGACAAAAGTCGCTTAATACACGTGGTCGCATGGGCAAGTTAAACTGTATATAAAAATACACAAGTACTAGTTGGACTGGTTTAAGCAGTATCAATGTTAACAGGATCAAATAGTAAGAGAATGTTGGATTTATTAGTGCCAGCTTTACCTAGGTACTGAGCATTATTTTTGACATAAACTGGCAGCTTAATGAATCTACCAAACATTTTACTCGGACGTTATGAAGTCGCTACTTGGATAGCTTTTTAATCAGGCATTAGAAATAAACTGACAGACAGGTAAGGACAAGTCCATCTTGGAAAGGTGTGGAAGGACATTGACTAACCATCAAAGAACCTATCTTGTGCGCTTATCAGTAATATTAACAGTTGTAACAATAAAATTTCAGAACAAAAATCATCTGCTTTTAGTACATTAAGGTATTCATTTTGTTTGTTTCTTGATTTATAAAATGCTTGCTGTATATTAAACATATCCAAAATAGATGGAAAGACAGACAAGATGATGCATGACTTAAATACAGCTACTATGTACAATGTTTAGCATGACTTTTCAGAGGAGCTAGACCTTTTAGAAAACGCAGCAGCTTCTAAGAATAGTAGTACTTTCAATAATCTTGACAGCTTTAAACAAGTAAAATGTGCTTTCTATTTAAACAGAAAAAGCTTTTTCCTAATATCTGCATACTATAATGCAATGTATTTTGTTTGTCTTTGAATTCCTCAAAAACACAGCGCTTAAGCTAGGTCAGAAAACATGTACATTTAAAAATCTTCTCCAATGAACTCAATGGTCTGTTGATTTCATGGCTTATTGACAATGAGGTTTCTTACTATTATTCCCTCATTAATTTCATTAATCATTAATTTACCCATAGAAACAAAAAGAACATTCTAAAACCATTTCAAAAAGCCAACAGACAATATACGGAAAACCAAGCTATAGCACTGTGCAAAATAAATTAATTAAATTTCACAACAAAATACATAAAGCAAGGAATATCTTAAAAGAGAAAAATTTCAGTGGACAGGCCCTTGTTTTCTAAAAGAAAATCAGGCTCCTATGAATGAGATCACCTACTTGGGATCCCTCCAGTAGTCCACCTTTGGAGGCAGGCTGTAAAAAAGACAGCACTACACTCAACCAGGAAACACTTCAACAAATCTCAAGACCAATTACATATTATTAGGGCCGGGAATTATATTCGAATATTCGAAACACTACTGAATATTCGAACATTGAAAAACGAATACGAATATTCGAAAAAAAAGGAGAAATGTTTCATTTTTTGTCATTACTTTCAAATTTCAATTCAGATCGTAAATTAAACCTTTGCCCTTTCCTTCACGAGGTGTTCAAATGTTTGTATGACGCGTGTCAACAATTATCGCCAATTAACTGTGAAAACTTTGGGGTATAGTTGATCAAAAGGGCACCCGTTTCACAGTTTGCAATTTACCTGTTGAACAGTTTATAATGTAAATTTTTCCGATTTTAATTATCTAATTTATTGTTTTCTGTGTTAAAATCTTTCCGATTAATCAATAATTGTCTTAAATTTTGTGAATAAGAATAAATTGGCACGCATTATTCGGCGCGTTATGAAAGCATATGAAGTGTCTAAATTCTGTCAGAATATATTTATTCCGTAGACATTAAACTCCGTGTGATATTTACCTCGTTATAGCTAAACTTATCTTAAGAATATTTTAAACTTTATCTAAAATTATAAATAAAAATATTTAATACAAGTTAAGTTTCAATATCATTATGTGTCTTTGGGGATAAATGGCTACGATGATTCATATTACTGTCAGTCAAGTCACGTGAGTTACCTCCCGTTAATAAGACAGCGGTCGGGTTTACTGAACAAAAGGCTATCAAATTATGAATTTATTTCAAAAGTAAACATATATCTCGATTTACAATATATGAATTAAAAAAACTTCGACATAGCAATAAAGGTCTTTTTAATCGACGATTATTCCAAGCATTTTAAAGTAGTATAGTATTCGATGCAATCAATTTCGGATACGTATACGTCAAAGAGAAATATTGGAACAAATGTTGTAAAAACGAATATTCGAATATATTCGAATATGGAAAACGAATATTCGAACATCGAATTCCTTATTCGTTCCCAGCCCTACATATTATTTGTAACTGAAAAGTTTTCAGTGATGTTTAAACATCATGGAAAGCATTCCAGTTGCAAACAATGTTGATAAACATGTACGGAAGCAAACAAATCAAAACTTTTTCTATCAAAAGTTCTGTTACATACCGATCTATTAAAATATCACTTGTAATTATTATTATCATTCATCTTCTGAAACTCTTAAAATTTTTAACACTGACTTAATCATTACTGAAACAACGATTATAGTCTTTTGTAGTCACAGAAAAAAGTAATAAAATTGTAAAATAGTAAACAGATACAAAACTTTCTCCTCTGAATGTTTAATTCTATACAACTCTGCAAAAACAATTTCATAACGGGCCTTGCACCAAAGCTTGAAAGGCTTTCAACCTTACAGTAAAATATAAACCTTATAAGAGATGTCAACAGCATGTTAGTAATGTATAAAAATTTGATAAGATAGCCAAGGCAAGAGGTTTCATAACTGGTAAAGCCATTACCTATAAGGTAGAGAAAACTTTTTACTATAAACTTACTCAATATCATCCTTTACAGTACCCCAGTTGTGTGAGCCAGAGCCTTCCCTTTTTTCTGTAGCCTTTACACCACTGCTGTAGCAAACATAATAGAAACCAACAAAATTTTAATAGCCTTATAATTTAATCTGTTTCTTTAGGTTCAGAGTAATACTAGCACTTTTAAAGCCAGCTGAAAAAAACCCACAAGCTTTCCTGGTGGAAGGACATCAGGGATTGAAAATTCTTTTCAGAGCCACTCGTCCCACAGGATGAGGCTTCAAATTTCTACTTGTCCGGCATGCTTTGCTATTCATCCGTCATTTTTGAGATAAACTTTGCCCATGCAATAGAACCTCCCCGATGCAAGACACCACTTAAACTTCTCATAATCAGTTTGTTTACATAAATAAAACCAAAACCGGAAACAAAGCTTGTGTTTTAGGTTATATATAAATCGCGCAGTTTATAGAGCATTGTCAGGCACATTCCAGTCACACCTGTATCCAATTAACAATGCTTTTAGAGCTTTATAAAGTGTGCAAATTATAAATAACCTAAAACACAAGCTTTGTTTCGGGTTTTCCATCGTTAAATGTAAACAAACTGATTTTGAGAATTCTAGCTTTCTATTACATCGGCAAATTATTGCTCGTCCTACTGGACGAGCATACAATTTTATACTGGTTCTGCATTGATGTCTACTGGTAAATACGTGCGGATGACTGGCATTTTCGATCCCTTCACATTAAATGAGTTTCTCAGTTATACATGTATACAATATTTCAAATAGGTCTTGGCACTTGGACAAAGATTTCATCAGCTTATTAAGTTAATTACAGCATCCTACAAATATTATAAATAATCTTAAAAATATAATGGCATGAAAACATTTTTTTCCAATTTCAAGCGCAAAATGATACATTCTGATGAACATTACTGAAATGAACCAAGACTTATTTATAGAAGTCTGATTGCCTACTATACAATTGAAGCCACAATCATGTAGACAAACTGGTAAAACCACCAACATAAACTAGGCTGAATGCAGAGATCTTTTTAATACTGCTTCTTCAAAACAAGACACCTACGTTCTGTCACTGCCACTATGTCGCTCAAATTCCCGTTTTCCACCAAATCCGCCTCGACCACCACGGTCACCTCTACCAGCCCCACGTCCCATTCTTCCTCCTCTACCACGCCCACGATTAAATCCTCCTTCACCCCTTTGTCCACCAAATCCACCACCTTCAGACCTCTCCGTGCTGAAACCGCCACTTGGTCTATCTGACCGGTCTCTGTTAACAAAAGAGCCTTCAAATTAATCATCTTTGATAATGATTAAAAAATTTAAAATTCTTACAAAAAGTAAAGATTTTTAGAATAACAAAATATATAATATATGAAGGGACATCTTAAAGTCTTTATCTGTATACACAAAGGACATGCCAACAGTAATATATATTCACTACTACATCATATGCAAACAGAAAAACAGCAACTGACAAGACCGGACATTCCTGTCGAAACAATTGGATCTATGGCAAGATACCTCTAGACAGACTCGTAATAAAATGTCGCAATTTCTTGTCAAGGGCTGCTACTTGCCTATATCAATTGTCATTCAACAACTGTGGTAAAAAAAATTGGGGCTTTATTTTTTACCTCAACTGTGTTAAAAATAACAGGATGATATAGGGGAGGTATGGAATGACAAGTGAAAAAATTATATACGACAGAAACAATATATGCTGCATCATGATAATTAACCTTTCACTGTTCTCCAATTTTCTTTAAACATCTAACTCATGATTCTGTTTTTTTACACATTAACTAATTCTTTTGTATTTCTTGTACACTGTCATTCATGTAGGGGTGTCATCGATTCAATCGATATCGGTGTATCAACGATCTTTGTTATCCGATTCGATATCGATTCTATTTTTTAAATATCGGATATCAAATGCACATATATTTCTAGCTAAAGAGACTTCAGCAAACAGGTTTTATAGAACTGATAGACATGTTTACTGTCAGAAACGTCAAAATAAAAGTGACATATAAAGTTATGGAAGCCAGGAACATTTTTTTTCTAAAATGAAAACGGAAATCAATGCCAGTTACCTCCCAGTGTCTCTAACGAATGTTGCCTAATTTCGTTGTAATCTCGCACGTCTGCTAGGTGGATGGTAAGACCCCTCAATTCAGATTTTAAAAAGGGAAAATGCCAAGAAAAATTTGTCAGTGTTTCTTTGTAAAAATTATGATTACAAAGTGTTAAACTTTAATAATAAATCAGGTTCTAAACACTATAATTTGCCAATTAAACCCGGCTTAATTGGAACGGCAAGGACGGGATTTAGCATCATCAGTAACTACGTAATAGCAACAACAATTAAAGTAAAATGGAAAGGGCTTTAAACTTTATAGTTACTAGTCATTAGTTTTCATTTATAGCTATATGATAAAAAAGAAACAAATTGTTCAGTTTTCATAGTTTATCTTTTTTGCATTTGTCTAAATATAACTGCTTTGTCAGTGTCCTTAGGAAACATTTAAAAAGACTTGAAAGCTAAAATTTAGCCTGGCAATCGATATGTCGCCGTGTCGTCGATAATTCATTACCGATATATTGATACAAAAATCCTTATCAACGACACCTCTACATTCATGTGGGGACTGCAAGCAAGTATACAGAGATGTGAGCTGCAGTAGATAATGCAGCATATATGCAATATATGGCAGTATCTGATACATGAATTCGTACCTATTTTCAGGGTTGAAATTTTCATCCCTTCTTCTTGGAGGTCTGTTGTCTTCTCTGTTATCTCGGTTCTGTCGACCAGTTCTTGGCCTTTCCGATTGTTGACGAGGAGCATTAACTTTCTCTGCAAGATCATCGTCACGTTATAAAGGTTAATCTACCAATTTGTCATTAAAATATTCAAATGTTATCACTGTTTGTTTTGAAATGTGAATCTCATGAAGAATTTTGATACCATGGAGACATCTTAAGTTGAACACATTTGTATTCATTTTACAAGCGTCATTCGAAATGTAGAATAAAAAGCCCCGTAAAAACAAAAGCCATTTGATCAGTATTACAATTTTACAACCCGAATTTTCATATAACATGTGAAACATGCATCAAATGATGTAAAATGTAAAACACGTGCATGTAACTTTTGTCTCATTTAATTTTGGCAAGTTTCTTTATTTTATCATTAAGTTATACATGCAACCAAAGTGAACTAAATTCCTTACCTTCCTTTACAGGTTTAATCTCCTCCACCGGTTTGTTCTTATTCTCTGTCTTTAGCACTGACTTTTTGGCATTCTTGTTTTTCTTAGTCTTGTCATCCTTCTTTTTCTTGTCTTGCTCTTTTTTCGCAGATTCTTGCTGAGCAAGTATTTCTAAAGGATCAACATCCTCGTCTATAAAAAGTTCAAATTTGTTTTTAACGTTTATGCCGTATAAACTATCCATTGTTCCTCTTCTTTTTGAGGATGGCAACGGATTTACGGCCTTACAATTTTAGTTCACCAATATGGAGTCTTTAGCAATGGTATGATCCGGGGAATCAACACGTGACTTGACACTCGGACTACAACGGATTTTGTCGCTGAAATTCATATGTGCCGAGGTATTCCGAACTTATAATCTATGCCCATATACGGGTATCTGGCGGGAAATGCCCGTGACCTTCATAAAATTAGTATACTTTGTTTTATCTTTAGCGAAAGAAATTATGTTTTAATGAATAAAATATGCAAAAATAAAATTATGATCTCACTGAACGAATAAACTTGTTATTCAAATGATAGATAAAACATTTGCATTTCTGCAAAATAATATATGCGTAGTACAGTCACACGTCTATTTATAAACCAATAATTTTCAACGGAGTTCCATTAACTATTTATAGTAACGTGTACATGTATAGGCTTGAAGTGTATATATCGCCGATGTAAATATTATCACGCCGTTGTGTATTCAATTAAAGGATAGTGTGCTAGGCAGATCACATGTATTACACACAGACTATGTACCCTTGGAATTGGACCGAGGGGCTTTCTAGGGTGGCATTTAGCCCACGATCGTCATCAACAAGTTCTCAAGAAGCTGATTCTTTGGAAGGTGAAACGACTGGAGTTATTAAAACTGATCACAATAAACGTGGCCGACCAAGGGCGGAGAAAATTTCATCTCTTATTTTGGAGGGTGCTTTATCAGTAAATGGAATTAGATGCAGGGTGTGTTCACGGGTTTTCCCGAGGGAAAAATCCTTACAGGCTCATATGCGTACTCACACAGGTAACAACTTTAAATCTGTCAGAGAAAAATATATTTAATAAGTTATGTACAGACGTTAAGAAGAAAAATGAAACACATGTTTGGAATTTCTTTCGTCAGAATGATGATTCATGATTCCATGACATCTGTTCGAATCTAAATAATATATGAGAGTACAAGACGGAACGAGTAGGGTTATATACTGTTAAAGAAGTCCTTTGTAACGATTTATTAAGTACGACTGACTTCGGACATAACATTTTAACGACATGAAACTTGAAAAAAAAATGATTCCCTCGTAGAATATATATGCAAGTGATATATATGGTCCCAGTAATATACTTCTACATTTAGGCTTAATTGTTGATACTTAACGGAATCTGTTCTAAATCACACTGGTTTAACTTAATTGTTTGATGTATATTGAGTTTAAAATTGAGTTATATTTATTTTTAAATAATATGATATTGATGATTCTCTGTTAAATACAATACGGATATACTTGAATTTTTATGTTTTGCCGAAAGAGCAAAACTTCCTTGTTTCGCTTGAATAACAGATGGTTTCGTAAACACAATTTTATGAACAAAATATATATAGTATAGTTTATAAATGGTGCATATATATGTAATATAGGTATAGGTAGTGTAGTATGTCTACTTCAAACGAAATTAAGGTAGATATATTCACTAATATATATAATGACGTGTCCAGTGCGATTTATTTAAAACCTTTATGAATCATATTATTGGATTTGGGAAAATGTACCGGTTGGACTTTGAACTTTTTTATCATCTTGAATTTATTGATACAGTCAATACTAAATGCTCTTATATACACAGATCTATATTATTGCAAGGATTTCATTGAGCGCATTTTGCCCGTTTGTTTGAACCTTTTGTTTCCCCGCCATCAGGTTTAACGGTTAAATAAGAGCAGAGGTTATCGAAAATCCCCTTTAAGGCTTTTGTTAAACCTTAGACAAAGGGAAGTCTGTATTTACTCCCATTTTAATTTTATTATCAGCTTACACGATCTCTTTAACTGCTCGTCGAGTCTTGTTTAAAGTCACTGATGACTGCGTTTAAATCGATCTATTGAATATTGACTCATGCTATAGACAATTTATTGTTAAACCATTAACATCGCCCATTTAAATGGGTCATGTTAAGCGTGCCTAGCAACAATCCATAGGTAGCCATGTTGGAGTAATTTGCATATGAAATACTTAAAAACCCAACCACCGTTATACGATTAAGCGTGTAAGGGCTTGCCCGGATTTTATTTAAATATATCCACCGTGTTTTAAGTATCTGGGCATTGAATGAAAAAACGTGGTAAATCTCCTACGATACAAATATTTGAATACACGAGTCAGATATATAATGCCTTAAATAATGAATGTTGTACCAGTCATTTGTTTGTAAATATTATGTATCTATGAAATAATGTAACAAGAATGTATATGTATAAAACATATCTTAAAAGCATGTAATTGTAGTTTAAACGTCCGTGCGAAATCACCTTGCCACAGTATACGGGCCAGTGTTTGTTAAGTTATTTTTAAATATGTACGTGTAGATATATTTTGATGGAGAAATTATATCACTTTTAAATGTATCACTTTCTTAGAAATTAATTGTTTATGTATTAATTGGTATCCTTTGTTACGAATCTAAGCTTAAGAAAGCGCGCATTTTACGAATTATTCAGTGTTATACTGCGTGGTTAACGACGGTAACGTTATTGGTAATTACGTGGTGGTTATATTTTGTAGGAGAAAGGCCGTATTTATGTGATTTCCCGGGATGCGGCAAGTCATTTTGTCAGAGTGGACAGTTAAAAACGCACCAACGTCTTCATACTGGAGAAAAACCGTTTGCCTGTTCCATTGAAGGTAAGTGTAGTTTTTCTTCTAAAATTTTCTGGTTTGGGGTTATGGCCGTTCTTGAATTTTAAAAAATAAATGGTTAAATGATTAATCGCTCACATTTTTACTGTTTTGATAACTTTTTTTGCGCTTGGTTGCTTTCCCGTCAATTCCGCTGATAGTTTATATGTTGACAATTTAATCATTTTAGAATGTTTCATAATCATGCGTAGTTAATAAAAATAATAATAATGATGATGATATAAATAATAGATGGTATAAATATACTAGATTAATATGAGAAATGCTTTTCTTTTTCTTCAGGATGTCCGAGCCGATTCACACATGCCAACAGACACTGCACGGAACACCCATACGCGAGTTTACGGCGCATTTCTACACAGGAACAGCTACGTGATAGACTTGGCATTATAAAGTCGTCTGCAAATCAGTCAGTCACAGAATGGTTAACAAGGTAGACAACCGCTACATTAATATTGTAAATCTAGTTCCCCGCTCATATTCTTAGATTATTTCGCTCCGGTTTTGATCTAAAGCAGTTCTGAGCATTATAAAATAAAAATGTTACTCGCTTGGGCTTCCCAGCTGAAATTTCAGTATTAATGAATTATATGGCAATGTCTTCTGATAAACAACAAACAGCAAAACAATAGATTTAGATCTAATTAAACTCTTAATTTTGTAGACACTGTATGCAGAAAGATGAAATTGCGGTGGCCCCAACTCAGCCGGAAAAAAAGTTGAAGCGCGAATCATCAATTTTGCCTCCAGCTACACCAGTTGTTCAAGTGCACCACATAGACGTTACACCAAGAACATCATCAGATTACCCCACCCGCTCACTTACAGTTCCTCGCTCACATACAACAGAAACCACATATTCACCGATGATTGTCACTCCACGTTCTCCACTCACATCAACATCATTAAATGTTACGCCACCACCTTCACTTTCAGCGTTCGCGTCTGTGTCCACATCATCAACATCAAATTCGTCATCGGCGTCAGCGTTACCGTCAGTTGCATCATCAACCACATCTTTATTACCGTCAGTGTCATCCTCTGTATCAAATAATATATGTGCAATTACAAGTGACAAATCAAGTATTTCAACAGGGCCTACTCCATCGAAATTTGTGAGCAGGTCGTCCATGGGTCACCGACCATTCAAGAAGGAAGCAACAGACAAATGGGTATCAGCTCTTGCACTTCTTGAGCTTGCTCAGGGAAGTTCTTAAATTAGTGTATTTGTTTCACAAATATATGGAAGAGTTTGTTGCAAGACTGTTGTGACAGGTTATACAAGTCCATGAAATTTGGTATGCCAGAGTTGCACTGAACCTGGGATAATAGATCTACATCGCAATCCGGTCAACTCGTCCCCTGGTCAACTCGTCCTCTGGTCAACTCGTCACCTTTTTGGTCAACTCGTCCCCTACTTCTGGTCAACTCGTCCTCAAAGAGTCAACTCGTCCCTAATATGGTCAACTCGTCCCCTACTTTCGATCTGTTCGTCACTATTATGTTGTAAATCAATGTCTTTAAATAGTTCTTTTATGTAAAATTAATAATGAATTTGATTGATATCGAAATATTATTATATTAACGTCTTTTTTTACGTTAAACTTTTAATGATCTTTATCTAAGCGCACGTGCATAGCTTTGATGTCAAACTACAAAGACAGGTAAGTTTGCAAACATTCAATTAAAGTTTAATTAATCGAAGTTTTAATGATAATTAAAACTAAAATTAGGTCCAACTCTTTGATTTTTACCACCTCCCTGAATGGATTAAAGACTGACGACAGATTAACAGAAATTAGAAGTGCTAAAAACTTTATGTCGGTGCGTATTGATCTCATTATTGAAGGATCGTGTCAATTTAAAAACATGATAATTGTTTGTTGTGAAATTGTCAATATAAAAGTTGCCCTGATAAATATAAGATTTATTCCAAAAATCACATTTATTTTTTCTTTTCATTATTTTTTTTAAATAAAAAATCCGTACAATAATATTTGCTGTGGATATTAACTGATTGAAAACATAAAGTAATTACCAAATATTCAATTGCCAAAATAATTAGTAATTATTATAAAAGATTCATATTAAATTTCCATACATAAATCGTTAAATATTGATCTTAAAGGGGAGCTGTATAAGACCGAGTTCCAGAATTTCTTGTATAATACAAGTCAACATACTGAATGTTTTCATTGTATTTAATTCAACATTTTCATATATTTGACCATACACCATCAAAAACAAATAGGGCATTTTGAAAATAAATTTTTTTAACAACCTTTGGCACGATTTTCCCGCGATTTGTATAATTTCAAATTAAAGACACGCGTTCTTTAAATATATAAATACTTATCCAACCACAGAGGCAAATATGTCTTTAATCCTATTATCAAATTACAAATTACTGTGTTTACTTTAATAACCAAAGGCACGTGTCAAAAATATATTTAAATAACAACAAAAAAAAACAAAAAATATTCGCATACAAAAAGCGTCAAAATATTTCTAATTCAGAAATTTTATAATATATAATTTTAACAGTCTATAATAATTTATGAAATATATGAAAAACAAATAATAATAAAATATAGGGGACGAGTTGGGGACGAGTTGACCAGGGGACGAGTTGTCCAAGGGACGAGTTGACCAAAAAGGTGACGAGTTGACCAGAGGACGAGTTGACTAGGGGACGAGTTGACTCTGAATCTCTACATCTATACACCCTGGTGAATGATGGTAACTTCTAAAATTATGCTCTGCATGTTATAAGTAGGTTTCAATATTTTGACCTTGAGAAAGAATTTGAAATTGAGCATTCTGTATGGAATTTAAAAAGTTAAATATTTGACTAATAGAAACTAATGGACACACAAATACATGTACATTACATGTGCATTGTACAATCAATTACATACATTTAATAAAAAATATCAATACTTTAATATCATGTTAAAAAACTTGTTTTTTATTTTAAATAAATTATGAATAAGCCAAAGAGTCTGAGTCACTAGCATTTTTAATCAGAGATTTTCTGTTTTTGATGTTTTTTTTAATTAAAGAAATAAGGAAAGATTTCTGTTTTGTAAGAGATATACACATTTTTATCATTTCAACTCCAGCAAAATCATTTATCTTTGTTCACTTCATTTTTTTTCATTGCTTTTTGAATTCTAGAATATCAACTTTCAATATTTTCATGAAGCATTTTTTTTTAAATTATTTTTACTGTGTTCAGAATATGCATTTTATTCTATGCAATGGTTGCCATAGTGATTCTAATACATTTTATGATATTTACGTTTTGCTACAATTTCTAAATGTGTTCAAATGCTTTAATAATTAATATCAAAATGAGATTTGTTCATACATGTGAATTCATTACCTGGTAAGTACAATTTAGTGGTGTACTTCCAACACAACAATCATGATGTCATTATTTCAAAAGGTGCAAATTATTTGTTCAAATTGCTGTTGTCACATTTTTATAGGACTCCCACTGCTGTTCTAAAATTTCTTAAGTTATGTGTTGATATGACATGCCACCAGATGAGTGTAAAAAGTTAAAATCAACAAAAATGTAAATTTGTTAACCAGTTATGAAATACAGATATTGAAATATTACAATTTTTAATTAGAATGAAAAAATTCTTATTATTAGCACCATCTTTCTACCCCAGTACATGTATTTACAGAGTTAGGGTTACTTTTTGTATTTCATGTCATTTTTTCTTAAGTTTATATGGACTGCAAGTGCCTTATGCTAGCATTAATAATTTTATTGGTGTTCACTCGTAAATATTCCTCCTTTTAAAAACAATTTTGAAATTTTAATGTAAAAAAAAACTTGAATCTGGAGGCATGGTGCTTAAAATAGTTACAGTCTCAAATAAATGTAAAAATCCCATCAAAATCACACAGTGATTAGAACACTAAACTGTAAATAAACATGTTCATTAATGTAATAATCAAATGTGCTCAAATAATATGTTACAGGTTAGGTCAATAGTAGAATTGTAGATAAATTATTTACTTCTAATGTTTCTGGTTTTAAAGTCAGTGTTGATTTTGGTAAAATGTTTCATGTCAATCATTTATTGCTTTGAAAAATTCTGTTGTATTTGATATTATGTCCGTCCATTTAAGAATAACTATTGTATAGTAAACATTTTGTTACCATTTTAATGTTACCCTTAATGCTAGGCAATGAAATATTGTCACCATCTATGCAAAGGGACTATTTGATGCTAGGCAAAGGGGCATTGTTTCATTCTATGCAAAGGGACACTGTCTTATTTAAGTTGATCAAAAGGACAATATTTTGAATGCTTATCAAATGACTGTCTCTGTACCACTGTTAGATTTGCCATATTTTTAAACTAGTTATTTCCAAATGTTAATAAGCCAATCAGAAGTAAAAAAACATTAAAATTGAATAAATCAAGTAGAGTTAAATGGTTGATGTCTAGTTTTTCATTGGTCAATTTAAAAGTGTAAGAAACTATTACAAAAGGGTTTAAGGTATATTCTATACAAAGTAAACATAATACTTTAATTCAATGATCTTGTTTCCCTATTGATAAATAATGTAAAGCATGCAGTATCATGGTATATGACATTATCTACAGTTTGTTAAGGTGTGTTTTCCAAGATAAGCTTTCGGGATCACAAGTTGCTGAATTTCAGAATTTTGTTGCCTTGATACCCAAACATTTATGTATCATTTTACCTTTGTTGTTTCTGTTGTTGTATATATGTATTTTGATATTTATTAATCTGTTTTGTTATAAGGAAAGAAGAGAAAAAGACCTTTAAATAGCAATGCAAGTGCACTTCTAGACAAGCACTTTAATTAAATATACCACAGACCTTAATTGTCAATTAAGGGCCGTGAGTCTACTTAGGCTGTGTATAATTTAATCTGTTGAAAATAAGTGTTTAAAAGTGTGTAAAAAGTAAGATCTGCTGAAAAATGTTTTAGATTTACATAAAAGAATTATTTTTTTTACTTTTTTTTTACTGGAACAAAAAGAGAAAAGTTGAATAAAATAAAAGGTGTTTTTTTATATTTTACATTTAACTCTCACTCCAATTTTCATTCATTTTTAACATATTTGTTCACTGCCAAAAAGAGAACAATTTTTTTTAAAAGTAAAAGATGATTATATGCTGTATTGTTGTTCAGTTTTCATTACTGATGTATTATATGTTCCACATAATAAGATATTGATGATGATGATTGTGGACACCACTAAATTGATAATTGATTAAATTTATGCAAGTCATTTACAATATTATATGATTTTTGGATCATTATTTGGACAAACATCAAAAGTAGAGATTTTCAAACAGTGACCATTTTATGTCTGTGAAATTAAAATGAACTAGTATAAAACTTGTACATTTTTTGTAATGTAGCAGGATATATATGTAATCAGTGCCAGAAAAGGTTGCATCAGTCTAGTGGTTAAGGTGTCTGCCTCTAAACCAAGAGATGATAGCTTCAAGCCCTCCTGAGGGCACAACCATGGTTCCAGTTTTGACACCAGTACTGGTTAGTTCCAGGAAGGGGATTCAGGGAGTGGTTAAAATAAGTTATGATATTTCATCACAGACAAGCTTATATATATGTAAGTTTAAACTAAACTATAATGCTAGTATGTGACTGAACAACATAACACATAAAAGTCTTAAAATAACAACCAGTGTGTACTGCCATGATAGTTAATTATAGTGTGTGTGTGACCCTCTAACTGTACATATTAAATCACTCTAGATCTAGCACTTTTATAACACTTGATATATCAAAATCTATACATATTAAATACCACTTCACAATAGTTTTCTTTCCAAGGTGAAAATACGAAAGTAAATTGTCAGGACAGGTGTAAAGATTTATTTTTCAAGTACCATTTATCTATTTGCTTTTAAGCAAAAAAATAAAAGAAACATATTACTTTCATACAGGTTTTTTGGAATAACTCTTTGTCAAAAGTTAAACAAAAGTTTTGTAAACTAAAAACAGCAGATATATAGCTTTATACAGTTTAATGAATTGTTTTAAAAATTTTTAATGTCACATGTAAACTGTATTTATTGTGAATGTTTTTCACTCTTAAGGCAGAAATAACTCTTTCTTTTTCCTGCTAATCTATCATGCTCATTCTATTGTTTTTGATTTGTTCTACATGTATTTATTTGTGTTTTGTATATTTATTAATTTAAACCATTGTATGTAAATTTTATTCAAAGTTTTATTCAAATGTGTTAAAAAACATTTGTTTCATGTTAGTGATTTGTTACAACAGTAACCTGCAAGCACGATGCTTGTGCTA